GGATACACGGCGCTATATGGAAACATCCAGCTGCCGCCCCCCAGTATCCCCCTTTCAGAGTGGGGTGGCAATTTCTGTGCCATGGATGAGTGTGGCTTTCGCACGCTACAATGCGAAAGGATAGCGGCGCAAACCAAGTGCAAACCAATGGCAGTGTACACAAATGGCAGTGTACCAATGACCTTGTACACTGTCTGCATACACAGTGATTTCCAGAGACATCCAACTCGTGCCTCTACTAGCCCAACATTTGAACAAAGGCAAAAAAATTGAGAACATCAGTTGCTTAATACAATGTTCCATCAGCTCCAATGAAAGCTTAGTGGAATACTAGTGGCAGTGCCCCAAATTTTTGATAAATTAACCTCTGTTTTTACTCACCAACTTTGATGTTTTTGCTTCACAATACATGTGTATGAATTTTGGTCAACTTCCATGCTCTTCCCTGGTTACTTGCTCTTCCCTGGTAATCGTGCCGTCTGAACAATGGTTGTTTGGAAGAAACACATGTGAGGACCATGTATATATATATATATATATACACAGTAAAGCATGGTTCTTGGAATTTCCATAGTTGTTGCTGGAACTTCCCCCGCTTGGACATTGAACCTTCACGGCGCGAAGGTTCAAAAAACGAAGACTGGCCAGCCATGGGTTCCCTCAAATGTGGAAATGTCTGATGATCAAACCGTGTCCACCTGTTTCCAAAAAGATTCTTGATTCATAACCCCCCACGTATGAAGAGGGGGGTGGTCGGGGTGGTTTCATGAAGAGTCTCCATATGTCTCCATACCCTAGGGCTCCAACCACATCCTCAGAAGGTGGTTAGACCCCCCTGGCACCCACCCCAACCACCTTCTCAGGAGGTGGGCCAGGAACCCTAGGGATATATCCTTGTTCCTTTCACTCACACATTCGAGTTCTACTCTTCCTGATGGGACTTCCCACTGTCTCCGAGACATCCCAGTGGCTGACGATCCCCACCACCGTCCCCTCGTTCTCAATAGGTCCACGGCACCGAGGAGCACTCATCACCCGGGTCTCGGAAGGCGTGGAAGGCGGTCTCGGAAGGCCCCATATGGAGGATCTTCGTACCAAACAGGTGGTAAAACTCCGAGTGTTTTGTGCTTTTCTGCCGGGTTCATCCTTATCCATCCTTCGCAAGAGGAGCCCCCTTAGGAGTAAAATGGATTAAGGATACGTTTGATGAGGCCAGAGAACTAAGTGCTGCAGGATTCTTCCCTAAACAGCAGTACCAGCTGAAAGTGGACCTCTAGAGCCTCATAGAGAAGTTGCGTCTTTCAAAGCATGCGCAAGCAATATGCCCACCACAAAACCTGCGCGCATTCTTAAGGGTGCTGAACAAATCCCATCAGCCAATATGGCTGTGGGTCATGGCGCCAGGATACATTGGTTGACCTAACTGGTGCTGGTCGTTCGCGTACGTCCTCCAGTCATGTTCTCCAGTCTGTCCGCGGTAGGTCCGTAGCAGAGTAGCAGAGTCCATGAGATCCGTGGGAATGCCCTTACCTTTCATCCCAACATTCACCGTCATGCAAAGAGACACCTACTGAACAAAGAGATCAAAGATGTACCCAACACCTTCTGACTGGACGAGATACCCCATGGTGTTGGGGTCATCGACTTGTTCCTTGAAACTAGACGACGGTTGGCCCGAGAGCGAGACATGTAATTGTCCAGCACTGTCGAAAAGATGTATAGAGAAAGAGAAAGAGAGGGTGGATGTGAAGGAGTGACAGTGTGGATGTGCAGGTGCGATATAGATGTAGATGTATACTGTGGATGTGAGCGTGCGAAGATGTAAGTGCACAGAGACGAGAGAAAAGATATGTAGAAAGAAAGAAAGACAGGACAGATGTGAAGGAGCGACAGTGTGGATGTACAGATGTGATATAGATGTGCAGATGTGTGGGTGTGGTGATGTGGAGAGGTAGATCTGCGGATGTGAGCGTGTGAAGATCTAAACGTAGAGAGGTGAGGGTGTGTAGACGTAGATGCGTCGATGCAACGGCAGCGCAACGTCAACCTTAGTTGTGCAAATACAACGCTGAAGAGGTTCAAATAGAACTGAAGAACGTACATTTCACACTGAAGTTACCACGAACAGGGCGACCTGAGAGTAAACGACGTCACGATCATGACAAGCGACTGACATGACTCAGCTGCAGGGGCGCCAGAGCAGCCGCGAGAGATGACTCAGCCGCGAGAGATGACTCATCCGCGCACTCGTTGCACTACAAAGTCGTCAGTTCTCAGCTTCCAGTTCCACCGCTTGCTCCGCGTACTAAAGTTGTACTAGAAAGTCGCCAGTTCTCATCTTCCAGCTCCCCAGATACTCCGCCTACTCAAGTTGCACTACAAAGTCGTCAGTTCTCAGCTTCCAGCTCCACAGCTTGCTCCGCGTACTAAAGTTGTACTACAAAGTCGCGAGTTCTCATCTTCCAGCTCCCCAGAGACTCCACGTACTAAAGTTGTACTAGACAGGCACCAGTTCTCATCTTCCAGCTCCCCAGATACTCCGCGGACTAAAGTTGCACTGCAAAGTCGTCAGTTCTCAGCTTCCACCTCCACACAAATTGCTCCGCGTGCTACAGTTGTACTACAAAGTCGCCAGTTCTCATCTTCCAGCTCCCCAGATACCCCGCGTACTAAAGTTGTACTACAACTTCGCCAGTTCTCATCTTCCAGCTCCCCACGTACTCCGCGTACTACAGTTGTACTACAAAGTCGCCAGTTCTCGTCTTCCAGCTCCCCAGATACTCCGCCTACTAAAGTTGTACTAGAAAGTCGCCAGTTCTCATCTTCGAGCTCCCCAACCAATCGCACTCTCGCCTGCATTTCGCGCTCTCGACACGCACGATCTCCGCAGAGGGTTGCCCGCGACCGGGACAAATCGCACTCTCGCCTGCATTTCGCGCGTCCGACACGCACGATCTCCGCAGAGGGTTGCGTTTCGTGGCGGTCCGGCGGCACTGCCCCCGGCCTTAAGAGAGAAAGTTAAGAAGAGCGAGAGGTGAAAATGTGAGCTGTAGATGTGAGGATGTGAAGATGAGCAGAGATGTAGATGTGCAGATGTGAACATGAGCAGAAATGTAAGCTGTAGATGTGAGGATGTGAAGATGAGCAGAGATGTAGATGTGCAGATGTGAACATGAGCAGAGATGTAAGCTGCAGATGTGAGGATGTGAAGATGAGCAGAGATGTAGATGTGCAGATGTGAACATGAGCAGAGATATAGGTGAGAATGTGGATGTGCAGAGGTGAAGATGTGAAGATGTAGATGATACGTATAGTTCTGCAGATGTTTTTTTTTACGAAGAACCCTTCGCAGACGCTCTCGGGAAAAAGATACACTTCCAAACTGGGAGCTTGATGACAAGACCAGGAGAAGTCGGGTCGACGATGCGTCTGTCAACACAAGGCGACTGATTGTTCGTCACACTGTCGGGTGTCAATTACACCTAAATTATACACCCTACGTCGAATTGACCATACAAGAGCTTGAGCCCGTGTATAAATACAACATGCCTAGTGCACCTCTTCTGATCCAATCGGACAGTGACGCTAACTAACCAACGACTTCTTGGGAGCCCTTCAAGAAAACAAATGTTCCAATTCTTTTCAGGATGGGGAAGCTTGCCCTGCTGCCTTGGCTGGTTTGCAAACACCAGCAATCTGCTCCGAACGCGCGTTGCTAACAACCTCCCCACGCCGTCCCGCGCCTCCAGCGGCTTCTCCACTGAGCGAGCTTCGCAGCGGGCGCAAGCAAAGAAAAGGCGCTTAGCGCAGGTGCGCCATGAAAGAATGCAGTTTTCAACGTGAGAGGACTGCTGACTGCTGCCGTTCCTGATGCACATATGTACAAAGGAACTGCCGCTGACTGCCGTTCCTCTACGTCTGTCGGATCCTGTGTTCCTCTGTGTGCCAAAACTCCAAAGCCCGTGCGTTCCACCAAAGAGGAGGTCGACCTCGTCTGTGATCTCCACAGACTGCCAATCTCCAGACGGATCCCCAGAAAGCAAAAGGCCCAGCAGTGGATCATGGCATCCGGCCCGACCCGTGGACTGCCGACGCAACATCTTCGAATCGACGGGAGGTGAACCTACCAGGGATTAGGGAAATCCCCAAGCAATGGGTATAGACTAGTCCGTTTTCCTTCCTTTCTTGGGGTCGAACTGGAAGGCCTCCCTTTTTTGATACACACCCACATGGCTGGCATCACTGCCTTACTAGTGACTCCGCTATCAGTCTTGTCCCCAGCCCGGCTTCCATCCTTCCGTAGGTGGTCTCCGTTTAGAAATGTTAGGCATCCAGAAGAGTCTGAGCTGCCAATATCCTTCAGGTTTTGATATACATTCCGTTCGTGGGGAAATGTTGTTTTCTTTGTACAAACATGTTGCATAAAGGACAACGCAAACACCCGACGATGGCAAGCGGAGGTATAGCAAACCCGTACAAAGACTGCTGCAAAAAAGGGTCGGTTGGCAGGTGCACCAGGCCGCGCCCATCATATACTTCAGCAAATCAAAAACCTCGTGGACATGTTCCAATTTTGCATGGCTTAGCCCTATACCTGGATCTTCAATTAAACGATGCAAAATCCGCTGTTGGTTCAAATTAAGTTCCAACAACAACCATTTTTCCGGCCAATGATGGGTCATGGTCGTAAAATGCTCAACCGGTTTCCAAATGGTCAACCATGTTCTGGGTATTGATAGACCCACGCCACATCTGATTCTCCCTGAAATCATGGTTTCATGGAGTTCCCAACCTTGTTTAGTCTTCAGATCATTGCCCTCCGAGTGATGGGTGCCGGTGCCATCCATACGTCACCCACAGCTAGTTCCAGATTCCAGGTCGAATCACTTCATCCCGGTGCGCCCCCCCTGGCGTTTTCTCATTCAGGGAGGTCGGACCGCCCCTCTTTCACCACTGACCCCGAGCTCCGGATGTGACGGCGGCGGCACCGAGCGCCGGACCGAAGCTCGTGCCCCGCTGCGGCTTGGCCGTCGTCACAGTGCCCTGGGGTGCTCCCGTTGGGCGGGCAAACCCAAACGTATTCCATTGATGTATTCGGGTTGGAAATTCATGTTATACATTAATGTTATACATAGCGAGAAAATCCAGAGAATGAACATGGGACATGACCCTGTCCCACTTCAAGCACCATTCTGTACAAGATGTACAAGATGGGACACATGTATACCACACCAAGGGTCCAACCGATGGTCTTGCTGCGCTTGGCTTTTGCGTCCCTGAAAAATCCGTGATCATCCCTTGAGCGACCCAAATCCATGCTGCCTGGCATGTTCCAATTCCAAACCCGTCACCCCATGAAACATCCGCACGTTCCAAAAAATCATGGCCCATGGCGCCTGCTTGGAGATCAGCTCGGAGGCCTGTTTCTTTAACTCGACCCAATCCTGGGCAAAGGTCTTCGAACCCGATCGTGAACGAAAGAAACAGGCTGAACGGTGAGGGACGTCCAACAGAAAGAATATCGATTTACGAGGATCTAGGAGCCCTGTTTGGGAACCTATTGATCCTCCAAATCTTTTTCATCACTTCACATCTGATGAACCCAAAGAGTTCTACAACATGCCAGGTAAGGAAAGACGGGGTCCCTCCAATTTATTTTACCTCAATAAACAGCGTCTCTTCTCTACCGCCACGGCCTGATAACCAGATAATAAGTAGACTGGCTCTCTGCTCGTGGACTCTCACCCTCAGCCGAAGGGCAAGGCGAAGAAGGCCATGCTTTCCAGCAGGCCCAGTGCAATGGGAATCTCCAAACAAAGTATAACCCGCATTGTGCAAATGGCTTCAATTATAGCAGGCTGGCAACCCATGAGAATGCCCATTGATTGGGGGATCTGCCAACTTTTACACTCTATTACACATTTCTCTACAAAAACAGTAACACAAGTAATAAGATAGCACAAGCAATGCCCCCAAAGACAACTTTTTCAGTATCTTGAAGACATGGGCATACATGGGCCCCGTGTTCTTTTTCTCATGATATCACATGAGTTCTACTTCTTCCAAGTACGACTTCATGGCACTTCCTCGACTTCCACCGGAAGAGCGCCTCTAGGATTTGCCGCCGGCGTTCGATGAGTTGCTCCACCAACTCGAAAGCCTAGGGAAACGGGCAATGCCGATGATCCGGCACGACACGAGATCGTTGAGCTGTGTTTCAATTCACGTTGGCCCCCCTGGAGTTCGACCACCAGAAATCCACTGTACCAGGAAAACTATCCCAAAGATTAAAAATTAGATAGACGCCCAGAATTTGCCTTTCGGTCATGGAGAGGAAGAAAACCTGGTTGACCACCAAAGCCTGCACCATAGACTACTTTTCAGGAGGTCAATCTACCAGGCTTTGGAGCGTCAGATTTGGAAGCTGAGATTTGGACCAACTACCTATAATAAATATGTACCAGGAGTTACAAAGGGGTGTTTTTAAGTCCATAAGTGCGTGGATAATGGGCACCCCTATCCTCCAATAGGCACCCCTTTTGATACCCCTATAACTATATATCTAATCTGTCCTTGGACCATTGGAGGTCAACCCACCTCCACCGGTAGGGTTTGGACCCACCTCCTGTGACGCTTCACCTGTTTTTTGGTCGCCTCATGCAGCCCAAGGAGCTTCAAAGCCCAAGAAATCGATCAAGGCATTCTGATCTGCGTCCTGGGAAAGTGAACATCCCACAATCACACAGCTGTAAGAAGTGGACCAAGTGACCAAAACGCCTATGTTTTTCCGCAACATCCAGGTTCAAAATGTCCATTTCTATGACAAAAAAGTATTTTGCGAGAGTGGAATGAGGTTTGAGAGCTCCGGCCAAAAGCCCAACAAACGCACTTTGATGTTGACAACCCAACAAACAGTGACATATCCACAAACTGAATGTATGGGATCTTGTGGGATACATGTCTATATTGGGGTTGTTGAAAAGGTGGTCAATCTAAGCATACTTATATAGATGAAGTGTCTGGAGATGCAAGCATTCGAGCAAACTCGCATGACATGCCGTCACCACCATCCATCAGGCAGTCTCCTCGCCCTTGTCCAACCTGGCTCATGTCGACGGAACTGCATTTGACGCAAAGTCAGCACCGATAGTTGGTTTTAATCGCACGACAAAAGAACACTGCTGTATCCAAGAGTCTTCAAAAGGCCTACTGTTTGTGATTCATTGTGATTCCACTCTTCATTCCCCAAGATCCTCCAAGACATTAGGATCAGGAGCAATGATGCAGGTACCTCGCAGCCTGATTTGTTCAACAGGGGTTTACTTGTGTCCATCCCGGGCAGTTCTTGGCAGGTGCGCAATGTTGAAGTGATGCAGGACCAATTCTTTGTCAAATCCAAAGAGCTAGAACCAGCAGTGTGGAGCGAGATTCACTTAAAACGGCTTCACTGGTAGATGAACAGACTCAATGGGGGCATGTATATATATATACACACATACATACACCTAGAACCTGAGTGACCCATGTTTTGGAGAATCAACTATCCAAAATAATACGGCCGTTTCCTATCAAAAGGAGGTCAAATGGGTTCTAGGATGTTCTAGGTGTTTATATTACCTGTTTTGGAGCCAAAACACAGTCTTTTCCTATCAAAACAAATGGGTTCTAGATGGTTAATAAAGTTGAGCCAGGACCGTTCGCGCAGACCTCAAAATGGGGCCTTAAATTAAAGAAATCGTTCAGGAACATCGAAAACAACATCAAATGGATCCAGGCAAACCACTAGTTCGTAGGTATACTGTATACTGTATACCTGTCGTTTCAGTTCAACTAAAACAGACCGAACGAGGGGCCCCTGGTTCCTTACTACAAGTGGCCTGGCATCCACTGGGACAAGTATTGGGCCCCATCTTTTCGTCTTCAGTGACTTAGTACGTGTCTACAATTCAAAGAGCTTTGTTCGGGTGATATTTGTGCAAACACCTGGCAACGTGGCACAACATGGCACTACGCCGAGTGAAAACTCATAACTCGACGGTCCTTTGGAGCAATGGCGCCATGGAAAGCCATGTCGCTGAATCCCAACGAGAACGCAAGCGAACCACGCACGCGAAGCCAGTTGAAACCAGTCAAAATGAATCCAACTCGTCTGACGAAGGTTGCCAGGCTGGGCGGACGTCTCCAGAAGTTGTCCCATGAGCTCTTCCACCTGGTGCGCCACCAGAAGAACCGACCACCGGAGCACCCAGGATCTGTCTGGGACACTACCGAGCACCCAGGATGGGCCATCCGGGGCCAGGGGTCAATGTGCCCAGATTCACTGCCACCCTCTGAGGTATGGTGATTGGAGACACCTTGATGCAGGTGCCAGGAGGGTCCAGTCGTACCTCCTGAGAAGGTATGTAGATCCCTAAGGGCTAGGACCGGGTAGGACAATATTCCATTGTCTGTGTATGCGATAGAAACGCTCCTAAAAGCCAAAAGACATAAACAAGAAGTCCGGATGGGCTCTACCTCTGTGTTTAAGCCGGGACTGGTGTGGATGACAGGTGGGTTGTTTGAGCAAGTGGTTTCGTAGCTTCCCAAACGGGTGAGGAAAGCAAGGCTTGGATGTGGAGTTTCGCTGTTTCGCTGCCAATCTGGTCAATTGTTCATGTTCCAAACATTAAAGTCACCTAAATGACACGTTTGCCTACATCGCAGTCCTAAGCACACCACGCCACCAATGGGTTTGGAACATGAGGACTTCCTTTGCTTAATGAGTGCGTGCATTTCAATATAAGTGAGTCTCTTTTAGAGAGTGCTGGCTCCGTGATCGATGTGTTATCCTGTTCAAAGGATCAGCCCCCAAGTATATACCCCAAGCAACAGCAAGCAGGATTACGGTGGACAAAGGCCGGTGTCGTTTCCTTCTAGGATCTTCTAGGTACTGCATTAGTCTTGGTTACCCGCTTTCACCTTGGACCGTTGCCAAGAGCTTGTGGGGTCTCAATCCGAGAACAGGTCCATTCCGTCCACATCCAGCCCGGCATCCGGACTCCATCTCCCACTGGTCGGACCCTCGCCGTTTGGAGCGTTGGAAAAGCGTTTTTTTTGCGGCCGAGAACTCCCTTGACCGGTGTCCAGCTGGTGACATCATGTCCACGAGGCTTAGAACACTCACCCAGAATATCCCAGAAATCCGAATCAGAACGATCCGCGAAGACTTCAGGCACTGACCGTCATGGAACTTGAGGAAGAAGATCCTGTGCGAGCGATCCGCTCAAGATTTGGTCGGACCATCCCGTTTTACCTGGTTTTTGGACCCATCTTGGAAATGGGTGATGGGTGTGATTTGATCGCGGTAGCATTTTTGTTCATCACTTCCCAGCAGGTTGGGTATTGCCTAGGATAATAAGCACCGCGTCCTCTGAACATGCCTTTTATAAAGGATCGCAATGAGTCAAGACAGGGTTACGAGAGACCATTCCATGTTATTCAGTTATTCTAAAGAACAACTTGTTGCTGTCATGTTTAATAACTCTTTATATGGGGTGTCATGAAAATCAATCCCTTTGTGGTGCTTGAAAGGATGGAGTTCCAACATACTTGGCAATACCCCTGCCCCTACCCCTCAACAACAAGGCCAAGGGTGGACAACAAAAAGGGGAGCCCCTCAAGACCATCCCAACATGAAATTCCTGGCACAAACAACGCCCAATCTGCAGCTCGAAAACTAAGTCATCCAAACTGAATCCAAACCCATCAACCAGTCCACAATATAGAATCTTGGATTAATAACATAACCCACTCCCTTTGGATTGCAAAACCTCTTCATAGGGAGGAACGTTATTCATCAAGATTCTACAGTACACATCTTCCGCTGCATGGACCATCTCAAAATGCGATTTAACTCAGGGGTTTTCCGCTTCCCGCCTTCCACTTCCGCTTCCCAGCCCTGCCAGCCACGCTTCGCAAAGCCAAGACTATACTCCCAAGCCACGGGTTGGTCCCGCGAGCCGAGCCTGCTGCCCGGGCCAGGTGTTCTTCACAAGCGTCACGGAACCACAGGAGTTCCTGGATGGTTCCATTCAGCGCAAACGAGCCGCCGCAAGGCACGTCTGGGTCGGGTGGAAATCACCCAAGCTGAAGAACGTCTGGTGTGGATTTCTCCCTGGCCCTGTCCTGGAAAAGAAAAGGTACCAGTTGATGGGTTGAGCGAAACCAATCCTCAATGTCCAAAAGGTTGAAAATCCCAAGTAAATCTATAGTAGGTGACATAAAACCCAGAACTAAGAACCACCAAACAATGGGAGATGTGAGTTTATGATGCCAATCTGATTCAGCCACAGTTGGATCACAAGGTTTCAATCAAACAAGGGTGTTGGTGTCGCGAAACATCTAATATTGACACCGTTGGTAAACGCTCAAATCACCAATTGCAATGTCGAAATCATGCGTTTCTCTATATATATGTATGACAAAATCATGGCAGTGCCAAGCTGGCTTCTTGAGGCAAGACCGATCTTTGCACGACACCGAAAAAAGAGACACTTAGCCAAAGCGCTGAAGCAGCCAACATCAGTGAGTCACAAAAGCGACACATATCGCTGTGTTGATCCTAGTGTTTTCCATCTTGGCAATCACGGTGATGCTGTGCATATGCATGTCTGTTCATGTATGTTCGTGAAGTAATGCCCTCAGTGAGCCTCGCTTGACTTATATGAATAAGATATGAAGAAATCTCAAGGATTCCACTGGCGGCAGCAAGGAATCCACCAAACACAAACAAACATTCGGTCTACCCTCATTCTGTCTAGACAAACTCCATCCGCTCAATATCTTACTTCACACAACCTGCCATTAACTGGCACCATCCCCTACCCTTGTCTGGTTTAGTTATGTTTGTTTGTCTGGTTGACTTGGCTTGGCTTGCAAAAGCTGGAGGGGTCGGGGAGGGCACCAAACGCTTTCCCAAAGAGAAAACCAAGATGCCACGCCACCCAAAGCTACAAAATGCAAACAAACAAAACACAATTGTCAAACCTAGCTATCAAAATCCAACAGAATCCTTGAGACTGAGAACCAAAAGCAAGCCATCAAAAGCCAAACCACCCCAAAACCACCAAAAGCAAAAGAAATACAGAAGCTGCAAATGATAAAGGCCACCGAGCAACAGCTAGAACAAAAACACATCAAAACAAAGAACCATAATGATCGAAAACAAACAACACAATTTAAACATAGATAACAAATGAATAACTATTCATATCAAGCATTTCCATCCATCCAAAACCCCTACCTACAAAACCCCTACCCCTACCCCACAGAGTACACGAGCTGCACTCCTTGCGCGGGGCGACGGAGCCGGGCTTCGGCTTCGGCTCCTTCGGTCTGGCCTGACGGGCTGACGACGTAAGGTCCAGACCATTGGGAGTCCACATATATATATATATATACCCTGGGAGTCAAAGACTCTAAAAAGAATGGTCTTTAGGGGAACTGAAAGGGAACATCCTTTACTTCAGCTGGTCAAAATATAGTCTTTGGACTTCTAGGGTATATATATACACATGGAGCCTGAGTAACCTCTAAAAGATCAACTATCCCAAATAGGGTCAACTATCCAAACAAAGGTCACGAGCCGGCTCTAGGTATATATACGACCCGACTGACCCAGTACCTCCCAGTACCTTAGAAAATGGGGGCATGACCCCATAACAAACAGGTACGACTGTACTCATTTTCCGAGGTACGAACGGGTCGACTCCAGGTACATATAGACCATTAGAGACCATTGGTAAACCGTTGGATATTATAGAGTCATATATCATATAGTAATATTAAAATACTATTATGTAATATTATATAGTGTGATTCAAAGGAGTGGGAGTCACTACCATTTGGAAAACCGGCGGTGATTCAAAGGAGCCGATGAAGAGTTGTCTCCAGTAGAACTGCGCTCTTTGCCCTGTAGAACACTGGCTGGAGGGGTACTGCACCTACCAAAGACAGGTAGCAACTCATAAGCCCAGGTCTATTACCCTGGGGCTCCTGTACCATATCCTCATATATCCTCACAGAAGGTGGTTAGACCATGCTAGATCCCAAACCTTGATAAGAGTGTCTTCAATCACCGACTGTCAGAGGGTCAAAACATGTCGGTCCATAAAAACCCCCTGCCATCGGGGTTATTAGAACCCCGAAACAGGGGGGGCTTTGATAGAGTACTGTTCGAGCCTCTAATACTCGAGTCTGAGGAAGCTCAAGCTAGATGCTCCCAATCACATGGGAATCTCACACTGGGAGCACCGGCACTGTCGGCCATGAGCGCCTCTGGTGCTGGGCTCAGGGGCTCAAGGGGGTCGAAAGAAAGGCATTCATAGACCTGGATCTTTCAACTGATGCTGAATGTTGGCTCCTTTCAAGCCCTTTCATCCATCAAACCCGACCTGAAAGGCCAACATCTCGCGGTGGAAAGATCCAGGTAAAGCATGACGCGACTTGATCTTCATATTTGCCAGGAAGATGGTGGAGGAAACCCTTAAAGCCGAAACCCTTCCAAACGGCTTGACGAGGCTTGACTGATGAGCCGAAACCCACATGTTGAAGCGACTGTCGATACAACAGGCTGCAGCTGTTGCATAGCCTGCTGTGTGGAGCCCAGACTGGTGAACATTGGTCGAGCTCCGTGTTTCTTCGAACAGCTTTTCGTGGGCTTAGTGGCTTAGTGTGGCACCAGACCCGAAAGATCTGTGTATACACCATGACACCTGGGAGGGGCCTGTTTGCCTTTCAAAGTTCCAGGAGTGGTTCAGTGTTGTCGTTCAAGGCTTTTCCCATGCCTGAATGAAGGACTTAGATTTTAAGTGTAGAAGTGTTTGTTTACATGTTAAGCATTTTTAAACATACTGTTCCAAAGGGTTCCAGAAGCCTCTGGATTGTTGACGACTGTGTACAAAGCAAGGTGCTGGAATGCCCTTTATCCAGTCCTCAACCACTGATAAGGCTCTCTTGCTGGGCAGGACAGTTTAGCTCGGATAGAACAGGTGGGAATTCTATTGTGCGGATGGAAGGACTCTTAAACCTCAAGAGCCGCCTACACTGACCTATACACCCCGCAAATCCCCGCAATACAGAAGTAAATGCGGCGCTATACCGGCTATACCATCTAAATTCCAGATCAATACCCAAATTGCGCTTGCTCCCTACAAGAACACCGCCACCCACCCAGCAGATCCACCCCACATCACCCACCTCCCCGTTTCTTCCCCGGTGCGTAGCGTTTCCAACGCCGCGCCTTGGCGCGGTTCATGAAGAGTTGCTCCGAGCTTTCCGGCTCCGGTTCGTCGGGCGTCATGCGCCAGCCCCCTGAGGTACTCGCATCCTCAGATCCGGCGGAGAATCGGTCCACTCTTGATTCCCGTTCGGGCTCCAAGCAGCTCCTGAGGTTCCGGTGGTTGGGGTAAGTCTTTGGGGGTCTAACTAGACCTTCTGATTCATCACCCACCCCTGCACTCCCCCCCCTGAGTTGAATAGGAAGATATCCGCTTATGGGGGGTGGGGGCTCAAAGGATCAGAGAAGAGGCCCGGAACCCGGGTGCACTGTGCGTCCTTAAGTAGTGTTTTGATAGGACCATGTCCAGTCAAATGAGTTCATTTACCTGGTTCATTAAAAGCTTTTCACCTGTATATGAAGGAGAATTCATCCCATTTGGGCTCCTGTCACCAACAGTATACAACTGCGCCTACGCTGGCACCTACCCCAACTACCTTAGAAACTCAGGTCGTGGATCGAGCGAGCCGCGGTTCCGAACGGTTCTCCGGAGCCCGTGAAAGAGCCACAAAAACGACGAAGCATCCGACGAAGCATCGAAAGAGAAGCATCCGACGCCGACGAAGCATGACAATTGATGAAACCCAAACAACCATATCATATGGAAAAGTCTTTGGACGCGGGAGCTGCGGTGGTTAAGGCACACCCATGAAACATCTCAGGTGGTTGAAAGGGGGGCCAATGTACCAGCACCACCCAGGGCTAGGGTGGTTTATAGCTAGATTTTCCAGAAGAGGTCTTAGAAGCTAGGATTGGAGCCTTTGTACGGCATGGGGCCCTTGATTGACGCGGAGACCCAAGTCGTCAGTGGTCACGCTGTTTTGGTGACAATGGCCGGGCGGACGGGCCACATAGAGTCGCCCGTTCGTCACTCGGAAAATAGAGACAGTCGTAATTATAACTGGGTTCGAGTCATGTCCCATGTTCGGCCCTAGGGCTCCAAGTAGCTTCGGTTAGGTGGGACTGGGGGCTGGGGTGCCATGGTCCAGTCCCCTACCGCGTTTCGGAGGTACGACAGGATCCAGTGTACTTGAAGTCGGGTTCACCGGTTCCGTGGTGAGGGCATTCGAGCGAAATCTTGGACGCCATGAATTACTGCCAGGTCTTGGAGCTCCACCATGGCCGCTACTCGCAGCTTTTGGGGTGCCTACAGTCATGTGCCATATGTTTGATCTACAGTATATATTTGCATTTGCTGTCCAGGAACCGGGAAAGAATACAACATATATTTTTCGTTATTGATCACCCATAGGAAAAAAATACACATCATCCTGAACCTACTAGTCAAGCAAAACCTGGTATAGGTTGGAGATTCCAGGGAAATGCGGATGGAGCAGGACACCTGAACCATGACACCCAAATACTGTAGGATAAAAATACACATGTGGATACTACCAGGATGCAATGAATAGTGGGAGGTTTCCACGGTCTTGCGGTGGTCCGGAATGTATTACCCATCAACTTTGTGAGACAGGGCTTGACTTCCACAGTAGGAATCCTGAACACAAGGATGTCTGTACCGATGGATGTCCATGTCTCCCACCGGGTAAAAAGGTTTTTTGCACACTGGCTGGGCCCTCTCTCCAACTCTCTTGACCAACATCCGAGCCATGTGTATATAATGGTTGATAACCCCACCCCATTCACAAGCCTTTTCCCACTGTTCGCACCACACGATAGATAGAGCAGAAAGAAGATCAGAATAGAAGTGATTTGTGGCCAGTGGGCACCTCTTGACACCACTCCTTCGAAGTGAAGACACCAGGACATCAACACCGTTCCCCATGGGCACAGTTTTGGGCATATTGAAACCATTTCTGCTGGAACTATTGATCTTGAACAGGCACATGCACAGTCAAGAGCAGTCACATGCACTCACATTCCCCATTCATCCCAAGTCTACAACGCGGGCTAACGCGGCCTCCCATTTCGAGTGGGTGCTTTCCGGACGGTCTGGCTCCTTCTTTTTGATGGTGGTGGTTCCGCCCGACCCGTCCAAAAGAACGTGAGTCACACGTCACACCGGGTCCAAGCATCCAAGGGGTAGATGAAGTCCAAATCGGAGCCGAACCTTGGGCCGTGTCGCATGTCGCAGGGCGTTCGGTCGCTGGTCGGTTGGCGCATGTCGCAGTCGGCGAAAAACAACAAAAAAAACCTCCTGCTCTGGTGCTGGCGGTCTGGGCGCACACTTCGACCTACGCTCATCTCATGTTTCCAAGGAATCCCTTGGATCTATGGAACAAATGGTTGCAGGGGGACACTCTTCGTTGCAAGCGAACTCCTGCAGCCTCAAATCAATACCGGCTTTGTACAAGTTTCGGATCATAACATCGGCGGTACACTTCCAAGTGGCTCGTACTCCATCTCTGTCTGCGGCTTAGTGCTGATCTTGGACTTCTCATCACTTGCTGGGAAGCGGTCGTACCTGGATCAACGAGAATTGGGCGGATCCATAGAGCTCCATGAAACACCGCAGGTGTAGATTCTATCTGTCTCAAGCCTTCTTCGGCAGTCTTTTGGGTGGCCTTGGTCTAGGTGTTGTCTCAAAGGTTTCCAGCACCCCAAAAAACAATTGTGAGGAGCAACATTGTTTTCACACCACCCTGTCGCACCAATTTATTCACTTGATGTCGATGCATACAAAACCTCTCAAATACCCAGAACCAACCTCTCAAGGATGCACTGAACGTCTCAAGTTGAACCGGTACGGTACTGAATGTCCCACATTCCTCAAATCCTCGAGGTATATTATATACTTGGACATCTTGGAAACACATGCTACCAACTGGAATGCGCTCTGGGCACAGCTGCAGGGTCCAATAAATTCTCCAAAAGCACTCGCAGGGCACAAGGACGCCCTCCCGAAAAAGAAACTGTATCTTCCAAACCTCACATCCTTTGGCGCCAACTTAATTTCTTGTACAATGAGGGACTTTGGGCCCAAAGATTGGATTGCCAATCTGGATTAGCCTCGCACTATTCCGTACTGCTGACTGGTCTTGTGGCCGTGCCTGAAGAGCTTCTGGGAAAGGCCGCGCAGGCGGCTGAAGTCCTGCTTCGTGAAGGTCAATATCACCTGCTGCGCATCGCAGTTGCGGCAGGTGCCGTGGCGAGTGCGGCGCGTGCAGCTTGGAAGGTGCCGAAATGAGCTCCAAACAGCTCTGTGAGAAGTAAGTTCGGACAAACACCGCAACCTATAGGGCTGGTGTTGATCAACATGACAATCATCCATCTATCTCAGCACTGGACTGAATACGGACATGTCGACGGGTCTTCTGCTTGTGCAAAGAATTCGACTAAGGGAAAAAGGATCCTCTTTCTCTTCCTGGCGCCAAATGCTCGAGAGCCCAAGGAGAGGACCTTCTTGAAGACCTCAAATCAATCGAGGTTTTTTGTAAGGCACTGCAAAGGACTTCAACACGTCCTCTGCTGCTATATTGAAGTCAATTCCGATTCCTAAGAACTCTGAATTCCGTGACACACCAATGGGTCCATTAGGACCCATCAGGTCGCTATATATGGGTCGGTGCCCGCAAGAACCTGACCCCTCACCTCTCCGGAACCCACGACCTCGCCTGCTTGATGGCTTCGAACTGCTCATCCTCGTTCATGGACATGCCCTGAGAAAGCAGCCGAAAGGGAGGGCCTTTTCAAAGACCCAGAAATCCAGAAGAACATGCCCATGTAGGTCAGCCAATGAAAAAACATGAAAAAACTCGGTGCACCGTGATCTTATGGGTGGGGTGTAAAGGAATCGAATAGCCTTTGAAACTCTAGAGGGCCCAAAGCCAAGATCCAGTACAACTCCCTTCCCTTGTGTTCATGTCCCACAGCTGGTTGTGGACTCAAACCCCCGAACCCCTGCCCTGGCTGAGCACCTCCAAACAAGTTGAATACTCAAATAGCTTCACGACCGTGTGACTGGATCACACTTTCATTCA